ATACCGCAGCTCGGGTAGCCGCTTCCGTGACTCTGGCTTTGCTTCTGCAGCTGCGTCGGGAGCAAGCTGGGTCCCGAGCAACCGAGGCCCCTGATGCTTTGCACAAGGTGCGGGCCTGGCTGTACTCCCTTTCTCTGCTTCCACCTTTCAAGATGCTGGTTCCTTTCAAGATGCTGGTTGAGGGCTGGGAATGAATTCCCTGTGACTGTTTCTGATTTGCTCAGTGCCTATTTTAAAACAAATAATAAACTACAGGCTCCAGTGCCCTATCCATTAAGCTTCCCAGTGCTGACTGGGTTTACAGGCTGCCATAGTCCTTTTCTCTTCCTGGAGCTGTCTGCTTCACTTCATCGCCTGCCAGGCTGAGGAGTGACATGCACATCTCTTGCTCGGCTGAGCACTGACAGTTCCAGCCCTCATCCTGTGGTATTTTTAGCCCTGCTGACATAAAGAAGCTCCTTTCATTCATGTCCAGTCTGTTGAAGGAACCTAGTTGAGAAGCATGTAAAGGGGTTGGTGGAGAGATAGGTGAGCCAGCTTAAAAAGTGACCCTACTGGCTACTGCATGGCCCGTCCAGCCAACGGGCAGGGTGACTGCCAGCTGTCTCTTCCAGGATGACTAAAGCCCTGCTGGAGAAGGATGGTGTGAACTGGCGCCAGAAGCTCCCACCAATCCCTGCAGTCCCCATTTCTGCCCAGACGAGGTGGAGCGTTCCTTCTGCCGGAGCCCCCGGAGCAAGCACTCCTCCTACAACTGCAGCACCGGGAGGATCAGGTGAGAGCATGCCCTTGGACCTGGCCCAGAGCCCTGTAGCTCAGAAGGGTGATGAGCAAGGCAGCTGCCACGCCTGCTTGGCATGTCTGCAGCTGGGGCCAAGGCCTGGAAAAACCTGGGCCTGGTTCTGTAACAGCCTTTTTGGTTGATTCTGGATCCTTTGATGTCTCTGTGTCTCACCTCTGGTATGGCGATATTTGCTTTCTGAGAGGCTGTGCTGATCTTGTCAGTTTTCTAGAATTCTGTATTTTTTCATGGTGTTTCCAGACCAGACTGCTGCTGACACAGAGCGAGCTCGAACTCTGAAGGAAGAAGGAAATGAATTTGTAAAGAAAGGAAACCATAAAAAAGCAGTTGAGAAGTACAGTGAGAGTTTAAAGCTCAACGAGGAATGTGCGACTTACACCAACAGGTACTACTCAGCTCCTTGCCCAAATACTTCTTGGCCCCTTATAAAAGCCACCATGGTACTTCTGACAGAGCTGTCTAATGTTGCTCCCAAACAAACGAATAAAACAAAACCACCCACACATGTTTGCCCCAAGTGCAGTCTTCCCTGTAGTTTGTATAACGTTCTTTGATCAGGTACTGCAGAAAACCCTTGGCAACACTCAGCTTCGGGCTGCTAAGGGATTTTTCCCTTCAGTGCTTGTCTGCCAGGACTCTCTTATTTTGAGTAGTGTCTGCTGCTATACCTAAAGACTCCTAAGGCAGCTGCAGCAAGCAGAGCATATTCTGGACTGTTGTAGCTAGGAACCTGCATCCTTGAAGTGCAGTTCTTAGCTTTGCAGTAGGCTACTCTCAAAAGCTTTTTTTTCAGACTGAAAAACTTGTTTCCTTTTTTTCTCCCTTTTAACAGAAACAAACTTGAGCTCAAGAAGTAGATTACCTAACATATGAGGATAAAGACTGGGTTTGAGTCTAGCTTTGTGCTGCGCAGGGTTTGGCTGAGATCGGCTCTGTATGTTGTGGCAGTAGATGCTGCTTTTAGCCAAAGGTCTCTAACCGGGTAACTGTCTTGCAGAGCTCTCTGCTACCTGACTCTGAAGCAGTACAAGGAAGCAGTACAGGACTGCACGGAAGCTCTGAGGTTAGATCCTAAAAACGTTAAGGCGCTCTACAGGCGTGCTCAAGCACTTAAAGAATTGAAGGTAAGTCAGGAATTTTGGAACAGTTTTACGCTAGGACTCGAAGCTGTTAATGCATGACCAGGGCAGGAGATGCCTTTTGGAACTCGCTCCTGTGATAAACAACACCTGCCATCAGGTAGCTGAGACCTGTGTGGGCTGGGGGCATTTTCTTTCACATCACTGTTTGCTGGTTGGATCTTGTGGGTTTCTCAGTGCCAGGTCCTGTTTCTGGAGATGCTGGAAGCAGCTCCGTGTTGTGTTGAGCTTTATCTTTCCGTGTCTGGTGAGAGATTCTCTAGGCAGTACTGGAATACTTAATGCATTGGTGTTGGCCTCGGACCCACTTGAGTGATGAAATTGTCTCCTCAGCCCTAGTTTAATAAGCGTGTTTTAGAACAGCAACATTGATGCCAGTGCTTAAGCAATTATATGTAGGGAATCACGGGCTTAGTTGTGTTGCAGGGTAGTAATTTTGCAGTGAGAACCTTAGACTGCATTTTCAATGTACTAACACTTAAAAAATATTCTCCTTCTAGGATTACAAATCAGGTATTGCAGATATCAAGACCTTGTTGAAAACTGAACCAAAGAACACAGCTGCACTGAGATTACTGCAAGAACTGAACAGAGCCTAGGGTAACCAAGCAACAAGGAAAGCTTTGATTTTCATTGCGGAAGAAAACTTTTCCCCTTCTGATGTTGTTACAGGGACCAGTCTTAATGCAGGATCGGTATTGAAATCTATCTTCTACTGCTGCTGAGATGTAACAGGTTCTGTGCCAGCACAATCAATGTTCACACACACAATCTGTATCAAACTATTTATCTGGCTCTAAGATCATTGAAAGTTTTGATGCCCCTCCCTGAGAGGCATATAGGTTACCTTCCCTAGTTGAAGTCAACTTGCCTGTAACTATTGGCCTTGGGGACTCTTTCCATGTTGGCTAAGGTTCACGCAAAGTGGCTATTCTTTTTCTGAAGAGCTACAAAGAGAGGGGTTTTTTTTGTCCTTATTCAGGTGACAGTTTTGCTGCATTTGTGCTGCTATTAATTAAGGTTGCTGCAGGAACTGCTGCAGTTGCCCTAGCACCATGTACCATTCTTGTAACAGAGGCACAGTTACTTGCATAGAGCCAAGCTTGTCCCCTCGCCCACTTGATGCCTGCTGGCTCTTAGCTGAGTTTCTGCTGTGTAGTGGGGCTGGGCAGATGTTTACAGTAGCAGCTTTCTTTTATTTTTAATTATTCTGCACATTTAAGAAAACAGCAGCAAGTTGAGCCTGCCTTGTTACACTGTGCACTACTTCTTTCAGATTCTGGGTGCTTGGGACTTTTATAATTGTTTTTTGTGTTAGTTTTTGTTTGTTTTTTAAACCACTTTAGCTCCTCTGTGCCTTTTGGAGCAGTTGCTACAGGGTGTTACAGGGAGGAGGATATGCAGTAACATCCCAGCTGAGGTCTGGCTTACTACTTCAATGCATGTTTGTACTTTTGATCTCCTTATCTGGTATTGATGGCACTGACTTACAATGGTAAAGAGATACTTGGAGTTATTCTATGAACTGTTAAAATCAGTTCTCATTAAAGCCATGTTTATTTTCACTTCAGAGCTGTGGGGTTTTTTTACATGATAGATGGAACACTTATTTTTTAACCACTTCATACTGTCCCCCCATTTTGTCAGAGGAGTTCAAGTGCTGCTGTATAATGCCTTGCTTTGGAAGCCAGCTGTCAGTGACAATACGTTGCTGAGCCCTGCACATCGTGCATGAGTAGAATGCTTTAACTAGCAAGTCAGGATGCTGGACACCACTTGACCTGAGCCAACTGCTTACAGTACAGACCAAGAGAGAGAAGCTAGGCCTTATCTTTGTTTCCCACCTTCCTCGCTTCTCCCAGCAGGCAGGGTTTCAGGCAGGTACCCCTTCTGTTCCAGCCTTTTCAAAAGGCCACAGCAACTCTTCCAAACTAGAGACTCCAGATTCACATTTGCAGTGCTGCTCCTGCCTCAACTCCCTAAAGCCTCAGGCTTCCCCAAGGAGTTCAGCCAGGGAGCTCCTCTGAAAACTTTCCAGTATACATGGGGATCCAAGCTCTAACTTCACCTTTTCTGATAAACATTTGAAAGACCCTGTCCCTTGGCCCCACTCTCTATTCCCTCTAGTTTTACAGCCATCTTCTCAAGCCAAGCCATCTAGCATTGTAGGTGGTGTCAGGCACATCTGGACTGGTCTGTTACACCTGAAAAAAAGGTTGCAGACAAGCTACCCAACAGCAGAATGAAGTTTACCTGTAAAGTTCCATTCCGCCTTCTTAATATGCATTACACTCATGCAAATACACATTTTTCCTCTAGCAACAAAGCATAAAAGTTTCCAGGCAGTTAGATTTGGGGAGAAAAAAACAACTTAATGGAAGGTCCAGTATCTTAAGTGGATTAAAGTCCTTTATGAGCATCTCACTGGGAAGGAGATCTCTAACTAGTGCGCAGTTCAGGCATCCACTGAGGAAAAGAAATATTTAAAAGGAGGTCAGAGGAAGAATTGGCCAAAAAAAAAAAAAAGGCAAGAAAAAGGAGTGATAAAAAGCCCCAGGGAAGAGTCCCAGCTGAGCAGAGCAGACACCATGCCGGAGCAAATGTGTAAGTGATTCTATTAAAACACTGGAAGGAAAACAAGAGGTAGGAGGGATGACTCAGCAGTGAGCTGGAGTGAGAGTATTATACAGCACAGAAGGAAGATTGGGACAGCAACACCAGCACATGAGTTGGACAGAAGGAAGGTGGGTGGTGCTGATGGAGGTGTGCTCCTGTCAGCTCAAGGAAGCAGTCAAGTAAGGTCAATACATCGCCAGTCTCAAGTACCAAGGAGCCTCTAGGGACTGAAATTCCTTTCCTAAATAGGAAGAGCAGAGCATTAAGGCCAGGATGACAACAGTGACATGCTCTGGGAGAGGCCCAGAGAGCAGACAACAGTAATAACAGGTCCCAGCTACTCCTGCTAGCGGGTAGTATCCCAGTGGGAGGCAATGCAGTTAGGAACAGTTTCAGGCCCATCAGTGACTCCTTGAAACCACTGGTCAGGAACACACATTGGAGAAGCAGCTTTTGATTTACAGCTACTCCACAATACCTCAAAAGCTGGGGCTTCTGCACCACACACACAGTGTGGTGACCAGCAGAAGACACTTGGTACCAGTATTCCTGCAGGTATACAAGCAGAACACAGGAAAATGATGCCTTTTTAGAAGGAAGTTAAAAGCAGCCTAGCTAGAAAGGATAAAATCCAGGTAGATGGTATGAAATCTGCTTAAAGCCATCCTCCTAGAGAGTCAGAAAGGATCAGGAGAGCCTGTTGCTTGGCAGTTTGTTCATTTAATCCTGTATCTCCCTTCCTGTCAGCTCTCAGGACTGCCGCCCCACCAGCATCACAAGCTTCAAAGCCTAATTACAGCAGCCTGGCTGGAATCCATCCCTCCACCTGCATGAAACAGAGAAAAAGTATTTGCTGTCTTTCTGCAAAGGGAACTAACCCATGCCTGGGGGTGGAAGCATCAGTTCTTTATTAGTGTCAGCTACAGGAACAAATAAAACTACAGAACCAAATAAATTCACTAAAAATGATGATTCATCAGCACTTGTCATTTCCTGGGAAACTGAACCAGGCTGGGTTCCACACTACATTTTACAAGATGCTTTCAGTAGCAAGAAGAGAATTAACATGGGGATTTTTCACAGGTGCAGGAGTAAGCAATTCTACAAGGTTTACAATACACACAAAAAAATAGGATGGGACATTGAAGACAAGCCAGGGTCACTGTACGGGCACGATTCCAAAAGCACGGTGGGATTGCTGCTGCTGTTCTTCAAAGGTAATGTTCTCGGGGCTTGCTCTCAGTCCTGAAGTCTACAAAAAAGCCAAAGAACCCACATATGCAATTTTCAGCTGCTAAAGGGACAGTTTCATCCAGACAAGAATTCACCTGAACTTGGATTAACACACAATTTCCTTGCAATCATGAGGCAAGAAAATATTATCTTCAGAGGGGTATGTGAGAGTCTGAATGGCTTGTTAATGGGTCTGTCCCCCCCCCCTCAGCTGCAGGGCCAGCTCTCCTGACCAAGCCCACACAGGACCACCAACATTTTATAGGATATCTACTGACAGGGTTCTGCAAAAAACACTGGGAAATCCCAGGAAAGCTTGTGCTGGTCCCCATTAGATGTACAGAAAAGCAAGGTCCTTTCCTATCTTCCTTCCCGGTTGCACAGTCATTCCCCTTGTAAACATAGAAAAGCCACACAGAACCAGGTCCCTGCAGTACCATTGAGTCTAGAAAAGGAGGATATGATTTAAGAAGTGGAATATTACAGTCAAACATCCATCCATTGCTCATCAAGCCATACTTGTTCTAGACAAGAAACCAAATCCCGTTTCAAAGTCAGCAACCAGAGACCCCGAGCACACCATGCACATGCCAACACTTGCAAAAGCTCCCTGCACCTACCCAGAGTCACTGCAGGAACACTGCGGCGCTGCTCTTGTGGGACGTCTCGGTAGCCTGGTGTGCCTGGAGAACAGCAACTGCTTCCTCAGTCTTAGAACAGAGAGCACAAGGGCAGGGGAAGAAGTTGAGTTGCTCCAACACAGGAGCATGCTGCACAAAGAATGCAATATTCCAGGTCCTGTCCTCTGCACAGACCCACTTCCAAGAGGTAAAGGACTTAAATAATAATAATTATAAAATCCAAGTCTGCTGCTTCTGCAGGAGATCAGCTCACAGACCAATTCTCTCTCTTCCCTAGGAAAATGCTGGGGCATCTCTCCCTTTCTATAGGAGCCAGAACTGTCTGGAGAGAAATCAAACTCTTCCATAGGTGGAGCTGCCTGACACCACCCAGCAGAGCCCATGCTCCTTGAAAGAGGAGTCAGTGGGAGAGTAGAAGTGAATCCTGCCTCCAAGGAGCAACAAGGAGATTCAGTCAATTCACTGCAACTGTTTTGATGGGAACCAAAGCTAAATATTCACCAGGATTAAGGAGGAAACTGAAGGAATGCTTCAGAGGCAGCATTTATCTGGTTTCTATTCTCAGGAAAGAGCATTTCCCTCTCTCCTTTCAGGGAGCAGCACCCACCCTGCTTTTCCCTCTCTCACTTCCCAGCCACCTCCAAGTCACCCTCGGAACCTGGCCCTTTTGCTGAAGGCGGGCAGGCATTCAGGCACTGGGTGCAGTGCCATCAACCCAGGGCCCTTCCTCCTAATTTTTCACTTAAAAAAAAAAAAAAAGAAAAAAGAAAGAGCAGCTACTTGCTCTTCCCACAGCTATCAAATCCTTGGCCCATCTTCTGGGCCATGATCTCCCTTCCTTGCAGCAGCAGGTAGTTAGCCCTTGGGGATGTGATTTGTTTGGGCACCGAGTGCCTCCTACCTTGGAGCGCAGGGAGTCGGGGGACTCCAGGAGCAGCAGCAGCTCCGTGTTGTCTATCTCCAGCAGCATGCCCGTGATCTTTCCAGCCAGCGAGGGATGCATCGCATGGATCAGAGGGTAGAGGCGCTCACCTGCTCCAAACACCAGGGAGGACATCAGCACTATGCAAGACCTCCAGCATTTTCAAACCCAGTGCAAGCCCTCCTGCCTCCCAGCTCTGTCCTTTCAGCTGAAAAGGGATACAGGGGTGGTGACAGTGGTGGAAAAAAAATCACTGCTCCCAAGCAATCCTGCTCCAGCGTGTCACAGCAGCAGTGTTCGCAGGCAGGGAAGCTGCTGGGTGAAGCCAGACAGCAGCAGGCACCTGCAGTGGGAGCAGGGCAGTGGAACAGCCAGCACTGCCCACGCCTGCCCACCAGCATGCACGTGAAGGGGCCTGCTTCTACCGAAGCACTTTCCTCCTGGGGAGGGAAGAGCTGGTCCATGACCTCCTACGCTTTTGCCGGGCCAAGCCTGGGAGGCAGCCAGGCAAGCGATCCCTTCCCATGCCGTGGGTGACGGCTGCTCCAGCAGCAGGATGCCACACAGCACCTGAAGCCCAAGCCTAACCCCCACAGCCACCAAGCTGGTCATCAGCACCAGAGATCGGCAACGCAGGATGGCTCAGAGTTCAGGGGAATTGCAAATGCCCTGGTGCAGCCTGGCAGCATGGAGCTCTGCCTCTCCTGCAGAGCTTCTCCAGGCGCCGTCTCACTGCCAGGTAGCCAATACAGACAGGGAGTGGTTTTGCTCCTTCCTACCCTTCCAACACAGCCCAGATTTTTTTTTTTTTTTCTTCTTTTAAAGAGAAGTATATTATCAGAGCAATCCCACAAAGGCTTACAGTTTCTCCTAGCAGCTAAGTTTTCCCTCATGCATGCAAGTCCACATGCCCTCGCATGCACCCACAGCCCCACAGCTAGACCTACTCCCACAGAGCAGCCATGACACCCACCTATCATTTGCTTCTGCTCCTGAGGAGGGGCTGCTGCAAGCATGGATGCTGTCAGCGGCTCCTGCCCCTGGACATGCACAGCAGGTTCTCCTAGCTGGAGGAAAAAAAAAGAAAAGAAAAAAAAAAAAAAAAGAGCAGCAATCAAGGGCTGGAAGCAACGTGCGAGTTACCTGGCTTGCA